TTGAAACAAGTCCTTGAAAGAAAAGAAATATTATTTTTAAACCTGCCTTCTCTTTCTTAGATAAGTCTGTGTAAGTGGTTATAAGACAAGCCTAAATTGGAGATGTTGACAGGGTACTGCTTAGTCCCTTAGAGGTATCGAGCGCTCAGTACCTGAAACACTATTTAGGAGCCTAAAAGAGAACTGAAGGTAGATGACAATCTTGCTCTTAATTTGTGATACTGCACTTCACAGAAACGTGTGGGTTCAAGAGTACCACCACGGAAACAAGACGCTGCGAGGAGCGGCAGAGGTGGTCTAGCATTGCGAGCAAGTTTCTCCTCTTCCCTCCCTCCTTCCTCCCTCTTCCCTACCCTGTTCCTCTCTCCCAGTCGCCCCCACTAACCTCCCTGCCTGCCTTCTCCTTTTCCGCTCTACTTGAGCACCTCCGTCTTTGCTGCTTCCTGACGCCCCTCATCTCCCAGCCCTGCATTAGTCTTCTCAGACATCCTCTAGTTTGATGCTATTGCCTGGGCTCTAAAACTTGTGGAGAGGTTTAAGGACGCCCAGGGCCCCAGGCAAGCAGTTCGTCAGTGCAAATACCCCCTCGACCGCTACGCTTCAGCAACCCGCCACAACCGTGTACCCAACTAGAGCAAACGCGGTTTGCTCTTCAGAGGAAGGTGCATAATTATAAACCATCCCGCTCATGATAAGACCATGTACAGCATACTTATTAGCAATTACCTAATTTGTTGTAAGGCAGATGCTATTTACTTCCTTATTTAAATTTAAATTATACTATGAACAATGATTAAGTACATTGGTAGGCTAGGCTACATTAAGTACATTGGTTAGCTGTTGCTCACATTTGAACTTTTTTTGGTTTTTTTGGGACTGTCTATCAGTATATTGTGTCTCAGAATTTAAATGACAAAAGGGAAAACAGATTAAGCAGTAGATGACGTTCACACTTCTGAAACTCTGAAGCAGAATCCTTAGAAATTCATCACAAAAAGGTAGAGATATACTCAAGCCACAACAGTGAAGCATTTTCACCTTGCACATTTAAAAGATCGACAATTTCAAAAATAAAAGATACTTGTATAAACTGATAGTGAAAGTTATTTTTCTTCATCTCATATTCCTATCAGACACACATATATGTCTGCATTTCATGAACAAAAACCAAATTATTTTTAATTATTTTCTAATGTAGTAAAACGTGACTTCTAGGACAGTATAGCTGAAGGATGGGAAGACAGTTAATGAAGGAGGAGTAATTTGAAAGCAAGTGGTTATGAATGCCTGAAAAAAATGTAGACCTCGATTTACCAAAGCATTTAAACTTAAGGGTACTTCACTGAATCAGGGTTTTAGGACCATAATTAAATTATTGTAATTAAGAGTGGACTCATTCAGAACTAGTAAGTACCTACTTAAAAAAGCAGCTATAAAATTAAGAAACCTGAGTGAAAATTTTTGTTAATTGTTCCTTATTTTTCTCATTATAATACAAAGCAATTTCAACTTTCGTCAACTCTTTAAGGATACTACGCTGCATGGTTTAAGGGACTGAACTCTGACAGACAGGAGCTCAAATTCTAATCTCAGGAGAGATACTGACAACCTCTATAGCCTTGAGTGCATCACTTAATTTCTGTGACTCTCACTGCTTATCTGTCGTATGGCATTATACCACATATATATATAGAGAGAAAAATATAAATATACATACATACATGCCACATAATTAATCAGCTAGATTACAAAACACTTTGAAAGCATAAGAGTAAATACATGCCAAATACAATGAACTCATGTTATATTAACCACTTGTTAAGTTACTGTCACACAATGTTAAAAGTAGATATAATTTACCAGTTCACTGGACTATTAAAGGAGAAAGCTGTCTTTTTCCTGCGCCCTTTATCCTCCTCTCCCACTTAATCCCCAGAGCTCTAGTCAGTACAGAGTCATTGACAATAATAGTTACCACAATTTAAGAACTAGTTTCTCGATGTTGATCATGCAAAACAAAAAGCAAACGCCCCCCCCACCTACTTCACATATATTTTCACAGTTAATTCCACCACAGAAAGCAATAGTTCAATGGGCACGGACTGAAGCGTTCCCTCATGCCCTTTAGAAATCTTGTACGAAGTTTACACCCTTCTGGTGAACTGCTATGAGAAGCTTGCAACATCCACAGCTATACAGAGAAGAGAATTCCCTAAAGTCCTCAGTAAGGCACACAGAAAACAGGGTTTAATGGGGTGGGACTGTGGTGGAAGGGTAGAAGTCCTGTAACATGACAGTAACTAGCAGCTGGAGATTATCACACACACCAGCCATGCTCTGTGCCGGCAGAAGACTATCCATCCACCGTTTTGATCTTTTATCAGAACGAATCAGAGCTTCACAAAACAGCCTCAACAGCAATGATAACATGAAATTTGTTGAGTTTCTAGGCTCAAAGCAACTAGAAATGAAATACCACCTGCTCCTGCCCAAACCTAGCAGCCTCTCGCTGATCAGACAGATATTTAAGAAGCCTTCTGCCCTATACCAAATGGCTTCTACTCTGTTCAGTACGTCTGTCTCAGACCTGAAACACACACAAAACAGCACACTGAACCACACCTCACATGCTTATTTAGGAGGATAGCATAAGTTTGCTGTTCCATTTTCTTAATGAATCAAATATATTTTAGTCAGGAAAAAGACCAACAAATAAACCCGACAAAGCTTTTTCTTACTACACATAAAGGATATCTCAAATTAGCAAATCAGGCAGGCAATCACATACAGAATTGCACATGGTCAAGAGATGTTTCAGGTATTTGCACTTGTAGTTCCCAGTACGTGGGACTTTGGAATCCATTTCACAATTCATTAACATTGTCCATCTAAAGTTCTCAAAGCATTTTTAATTGCATTAGTTCATAATTTCCCTAAAAGGCAAGTAACATTTTCACTATTTTGCAAGTGAGTGCATTCAGAGCAGAACGCGCCCTTCGTAACTTGGGACCTACATCTGAGCTGGCGGCCCCAGGATTCCTTCATAATCAAGAACTATGTCTATTCAATGTAGGTCAAGGAGTCTAAGGCATAATTCATATGGTCAATCGTAGACATAGTCTTTAGGAGAAGATGTATTTCCCAGACTCCCGCAGCTGTACTGAGTAACTCTCCAAGGATTAGAAATGGAGTCTGCAGTGCGGACATCCATACCCAGTCAGATGAGAGCCACTTCTATTCCCACCCACACTGGAGACCTTGCATCCATTGTAACGCAAGTAAACCCCCTCTCCTCCACCACAAACCCCTGATCTTTACATCCATACCTTAACCACTAAATTGTCATTCCTGAGGAAAAACCCTCTAAATAGTTTACTGAACTAGGATGAAGGGAAGGTGGATTTCATTTTATGTATGCCAGTGACTTGCCAGTCTTTCCCATCTGTTCACTTCTTCATGCTCGTGTTTTCCCTCTCCACTTCTGTAAGCTGTTTTCAGGTGGGCAGCTTAGAGTGTTCCCTCTAAGCATTACTACACAACCTAATAGTTCAGATCCATTTTCGCGATCGATGCATATTAGCGTAATGAAAACAAGTAGACAGTAGTACTGAACAATCCTTCTGCCTCAGCCAAAGAAAACAAGCTTTCACACCCAGGCAAGTTTAGAGGCTATAATCTTTTCCACTGTTCAAAAACTCAATTATAGCTAAACTGAATTTGAAGAAAAAAAATGTGTTATTTTTGTTAATGTTAGTTGGTATTAAAATTTAACAGCCTAGATGTATAATATGCCTAGGTTTTATCTCTAAATCTATTCCCCTGGTCTGGATCTTATGATGACCAGAAATAAATGTTCCTGAAAAACCTTGGAATCAACCTATGCATGAAAAAAAAAGAAAAAAAAAAAGAAAAAAATTCACACAAATCACACTGCATATTTTAAATGGCCTACGTTATTCCATCTTTACAATACTATGCATACAATAGAAAGACAGTAGAGAGAGTTAAATACTTCCAGAAGGCAATTTGGACCTCATATTGAGATGAATTACTTTGTGAGTAATTCTAGCTCTAGTCACTTTGAAGATGACTACTTATCTTCATCCTTTATGCTGGGAATAAAAGCACTACTCAATTAGCAGCCCCTAGTCACGTGACCTGAATCTCTCCTCCTTCTTTAACAGGGATTAACTTCTCCCTGTGTTAACAAGGACTTGCTACCCTGCAGCAAAATGTCTGTATGTTTTGTCCTTCCCCCTCTCCTCCTTTTTTTTTTTTTTTTTTTTAAATGCACTAGCTAGACAGGCTATTCATTTGGATTGTATAAACCACAGACATTTCAGGTTTTTTTTAGAAGCTTCAGTTTTGGTAAAGATGTTTCAACCTATAACAGGAATTTGGATGCAGGGACCTAAGGAACGTTCCATTGCTCAAGCTTATCACAAACACAAAGACTTGCGTTAAGTGTTAACAATAATTGACATTGCCATGGAGGACTGCTAAACAAAGGAAAAACAAGAACCACCTGTAAAATATTCTATTGTTTAGTTAGAAAGATGAAAAACGTGTTACAGAATCTATGGAATAGGGCAACAGGTTTTGGTTACCAGCAGGAAACTAGAACTTTGCTTTATGCGAGTGTGTAAATACAGATATTCATAAACTAAATACTTTCCACTGTTTTTGTCTGTTTAAAAACAAAGACACCAGACAACTTTGTAGGCTTTGAATCTTCTCTTCCTTGCCCCTGAGAGCCATTTAATAAAAAGCACTGTCCCTGTTAGAGTGGTTTACAAAAAAAAAAAGCAACCAAAATAGATGATATTTCTGAAATTGCATTATGTTATTATGTCTGTCTGGTGTTTTGAGCTCTTTTCAGTATGGTAAGAAGGAAATAATTCCTTAGAACTACAGTAATAACGGCAACTATCATACTCCTACATTACTTCCATTTTATATTAACTCCATACTTTAGCTAACTATAGTGAAATAGAACTTACCTTAAAGATCAAATCCTTTTTCCCATAACGAAGCTCTTTCAGCTGGGCTTGGATCTTTTTTGACTGAAAGTAAGGATAATAAAATCAGGGTTTTTTTAATTTTAAATATTTACTTTTAAGATCAGAAAAAAAAGGTAGCAAGTTCTAACAGCAGCAGAAACTAGATCAGCTTTAAAATGCAGAAAAATAATCAAAATCAAAGTAAATTGCTTTTCCAGGGTAGCATGTCTAAATCAGGCAAAAGTATCACGGAAAATGTAAAATGGCACTCACCACAGAACATACATGAGTTAGTACTATTGTGAATAACCATTTGGCTTACACATTTTAGACATGAGATGTTATAAATATTTTGAATGAAGTTAAGTGAAGGCATCACCTTCAGAGTAAAGAATCTTCTTTTTCTTAGAGGGAAGAAGTTTCCATAGTGTTGCATAGGTTTTTCTTTGTAATGACCAGGGAGTTCCAGATAGTATCCAAATGAACTAGGTTTTCAGTTTGTGACCATGTCCTCTAAAATAGGCATAGTTATGCTGATTTATATCAGCTTAGGTTGATATTTATTTTAAATATTGCTAAATTTATGCTTAAAATAGTTTTAAGTAATGGTCTATACATTCTTTTATTTGTTTAAACAAAATATAATATAAATGGGGGTTTTTTACATACTATACCCAACTATTTCACTGTTTATCTAAGAATTCTGTCAAAATAATAATTTCTATTTAATAAAATCCAGTGTCTCAACTGATATTCAATAAGGTTTCTCACATTAGTTAATACGAAATGTTTAGAACTCCTTGGTATGGATTAGAAGTCTATTCCACATTTACTGAAACAGCACATCCATAAACATAACATATTACAGATGGTAGTATATCTTTTGTAAATTGGAGCTTTTATAAAGATTTGGTATCTTTCCAATTGGTGCAATCAAATTCAGTGACAGGCTTTTGGGAAGGATGAATGAATCTAAAGATAAAATTTTAGAACTTGCTTTAAATATTTAAGAAGTAAGGACAAATTAGTTATTGTATTCCATAAAATCTGAAACAAATAGCCAAGATCAGTTCAGTTCACTTCTTTCTTCTGTAACTATATCTGCTGTTATTTCACCTACACAGCAGAACGTGCCAATTGCCTACACTCAATAGCCCTGTCCTCCGATCTGGACAATGCAATCGGTAGAGCTATAGAATATACTCCACATCAACTAAAGACCAATGAGAAAACCTTAACCAACTTTAGTTGTTCTAGGAGTTGTGCTTAAGAAAGTGTATGGTCTCTGTGACACACAAGGTATCCAAAATGGCTATAGAGGAATTTAAGAGCTACAATTAAGGTATCACTCATTTGCTAAATCAAAACCTGTGATGAAATTAAGCGTTATGGAGCTAAATGTATTCAGTGTGTAATAGAAATGACTCAAAACCACGTAATACGACCTGTAATTCTTTGTGATAAAATTTGGTTGTTTTGTGGTTTTTCTGCGCTTCTAGGGAGAGGACATAGAAAAGCTTTTAGTGCAGTCAGCCAGATAAGATCATCATTAGACACAGACTGATAACGATCTCTAAACCACAGATCTGGGAATATTTCCCTTGCATGGGCCCCTTTCTGTTTCCCGGGAAGCCCGAGGTTTGCACCACCCTGCCTTCTTCTCTCCCGGGCTCCGAATTGCTGGAGAAGAAAAGCCAGCCATATAAACCGTATAGTTTATCACAAGCATGCTCCTGTCTACGCAACTGGACAACAAGGAATCACAGGGCTCACCAAAACTGTTTGCATGCAGCCTGAGAGAGCAGAACGAAGCAGGAGCTTCTTGGTAGGCAATTCTATCCATGCAGGGTATTTGATCTAATAACTAAAAGGATACTGATTTCACACAGTTGTTATGCTTGGTGAGCATAGTACTTAATTAAAGAGCAGAAAATACACCGCGTTTCTGTGGCTGACACCACCTAACTAGCAAAACAACAACAACAAAAGGATGTTCCTGTAGCATCTTTGCTTGTTCTAATGGCACTAACCCACTTAAAAGCCACAAATTTGCCAGGATGATTCATAAAGTCTGAGATTCTTAAGGTTTAAAATACACTCACAATCTGCTGCCTTGAGAGTTAGCTACCTTATGTTTAATTTTCTGAAATTCTCTGACAGCAAGGCTTGTCACACTACACTAAATTTAATTTAATCTTAGGCTTCACCCTTAGATTTAAAGATATTTATGTTGCAAATATTAAAGGAGACATAATCAGGGAAAAGATCTTCAGGTTAATTACCAAACATTCAAGATGTTATGCAGCTAGGAAAAACAAACTTGAAAAAGAGGGGAAAACAGAAAGCTGTATTGCACACATTGCCAATTTTTTAGCAGTAAACAAGGGAAGAAAATATATTTGTATTCATTACTGTGGCATGTTTGAAAACAACAATGGTGATATAGGAAGATAACACAGATTTTGACAAGCTAGCAAAAATAAAACAAACCCCAAACCCTGTCATATCCTACCATTGAGGATTTCTCAGAAACAGTGGTTGCAAATCTCCAGTTAGGCTAAATAGCTAAAATAACTAGAAATCACTACTTTGACCTCATAAGTTTTGATCTCTAAGTCAAAAAGTAGAGTCTTTAATGAAGAAAACACATTCAACCATAATTATGAAAATTTTAGTCAAGAAGAAGTGTTACACTTCTGTTTCATTCTGGCAAGGTGCAATGACTTTCACAGAAATTACATATGCAACAAACCATGACTAAAGACATGTAAATGGGTTAATCAGATTCGTACAGAGTAATATCCTCTTTCATGAAAAGTTAAATAGCTAAAGGGACTGATGGCACGTATGCAGTTACTTGTACATTTATGTATTTGCAAAAAAAATAGAGCTTTTGTATTATCATCTATCTTTGCTAGCTCGCTGTTCAGTAGAGGGGAGATTTCTTTCCCTGTATTTTATAAAGTGACCCTTTTTTCCTCGAAGTAATGAAACATTCTAGGAATCAATAATAATAAATCTTTCCTGTCTCTATAAATTATTATTAAAAAGGCACTTAGCTGTTCCTGTCTTATTCTAGGCATGGAGATCAGGGAAAGGAAATGAGTTTTATATGTGTTATAGGTGTACAATATACATCTACAGAGCCATATATACTTCTCATAAGCACGCCCAAACTTTATTTGTCTAAAACTTGAGTTTGCAGCTTCCTTTCTAATGCATTTGAGTTGCTTCTAGTGAAGTCACAGAAACAAGTTGAAATGAGAGCGCTTTAGGAACACTCATCATACACACATAATATATAACCTATACAAAAACCTCGATAGAAAAGACTTTGACGCAATCTTTTTTTGGGTATGTTAAATTTAGAATAGAGAGGAACCTTACTTACCTCTTCCGCGTGAATACCACAAAGTTTGTTTCCTGACAGGAGCTTGTTTTTGAGGCTTTTGTTCTGAGAGAGTGGGGAAAAAAAAATAGTGTTTTATTACTGAGAGTTACTGAAATATTAAGGGACCTTTTAAATATTTGATCATACTAGTTTTATTTTATACATGGATAACACCTTCAAGTCGCCAGCAAAGATACAGATAAGAAGACACGATAGATGCATCATGGCACAATATCCTCTCTTACAGAATTCTAAAAGGCTATGACTTTGCATTAAAACCTGCTTTCACAGAAACAGGATTGCACATAGAAATCTTCCAAAACACTCTAGCAACTGAAAGCAATTTAGATTGGATATGCTGAGGTAAAAAAGGAAAGTAAAAATCCTCTAATGCTTACCGGGTGTCAACCGCATAGCTCAATATCATTTTCAGTAAATCATTATAACAACTGAGTAATAGGGTCAAGATCTCATCACTCAACCTTGATGATCAAATTCATGGGATCTTTTTGCTAAATTTCATAATTTAAAACTGCAAGTAATCAAAAACTTTAGAAGGTTAGCTACCTGATAGCATTTAGCCAACTCAATATGCTTTTTCATGTAGGAGTTTTAAATGTATTTCTTCTCATTTTCAGCGAAAATAATAAACCTTGATAAAATGAATTTTCAATAGTCTGGTAATTTTTTCTGCACTCCTCACTCATATTATCCCACAATTGACAGTCAAGGGTAAATATTTCTCTGCAGTGTGGACATCTTTCAAAACTGTTCAGAAGCATAAGTATTCGATAAACAGATCTTCAAGTGCTGGACATAACATGCTTACACTGAAAAGAAATGAAAAGAACACAAAAAAAAAATTCTCCTGTGCTAACAAACTGCAAACATACCTACAGAAACCTAGCCCATCACATTTCAGGAATGTATATTTATTACTGATTAGCAATAGCTTTCTTCAATATTGTGCACAAGAACAAGCTGGCATTAGAGAAAAATGGGGAATTCCATCCAGGACACCAGTTCAAACTCAGGTCCACATCCCACTGAAACACTGGAAGCTTTATTTCCAAAATTCGAAGCTTGGAGTTTTTCTTGAAAAAACCTCTCTTATTAAAGCGAATGCAAAGAAACTAAAATTCCATTTAAAGCCTCCTTTGCACAATTCCAAAATAAGAAGAAGATATGGCATCACTTCACACATTTCACTGTTGCTATCTACCGTGCACCAACACACACTGCTGCAGAAACAATAAATCCTACCCAGCTATTTGACATGGGTGCCCACAGTTCTGTAACGCAACAGAAAGTAATTGGGATGTTTTTTTGAAAGCAACAACCCAGATTCTGCCTCGCAAAATGTGACTTGCAAAGGGCTGGGTTGGGGGAGGGAGAACAAATGTTGTTCTTCTAAGTCTCACAGTCGATTACTTTTTGTTCTTTATTTGAAAATTATGTTGTAGCTCATCACAGAGCAGCACCTTATTGTACTAACCACCGTAGAAATACAGAGCAAGACAAGTGGCTCTGCACAAAGGCGATTGGGTAGCAGATACAAAATGAACAAAGATAAACCAAATAGAAACCAAAGAGATGAAGCACACCCAGCACATCTATTGCTCACCAGGGTGCATCTAAAGAGCTATTTTGTACTGTGATGACACAGTAGATGTGATTGGTTTCACATAAAAGATCAGCATCACCTCTTGGGGTGATGGCCAAACAGATGTGCCAAACGCACGGCTTCATTAGGGAATTGCACTTAATTAACCCAGGAAGTCAAGCCATCGCTTTGTTTTGACTAACTAGCTTCATTATCCTCCAGTCCCCTACAGCCTGGTGATAGTTGGTTTAGATAACAGACTCTACCCGTATTTCAGAACCAAAGTAAGAATGTGTTGTAATCCTTACATTTTTACTCATTTATCTTCCTTTGCCAAGCATAAGCTACTATAAGAATTACTTCTATTAATACATTAACACTTCACAAGTAACTTCTACAAGTGCTGTTTTGAGAAGGCCCTGCAGTAACCCAGAATGCGAAGAACCGAATGCGTACCACCTTGAAAGGACACACATTATATTAGATGGTTGTTACAATTTCCACATTTTGTGCCAAAGTAGCCTAGCAAAAGAATATAGCTCAAAAACAAAACTTGATGAAAATATTTTAAGTTAGGAGATGGACTCCGTTTTGGAGATTTAGCTAGGTTTAACAGAATTTAACAATACTGTCTCATTATCCAGTCTACCAGCAACAAAAAACCCCAGGGTTACCAGAATGTAGGCAAAACAGTCATGATTTAATCTGCACTTAATATTTTTAGAAATGAGACAAGCATTAAAGGTTACAATTATCAAGAGCATAATAAGTAGGAGCTTGTCAGAGGTAGATGACAACCTCTTGCTTACAATTTGAGTGTTTATGTAACTTAGCAAATCACATGTCACTGTCAAATATAGCTTTGCATCCTGATCAATAGTGATAATTTTCTATAGCAGAATGCAAAGTATACCAGTAAAAACAGAGCCTGATGCGATTCTGAATTAAATGTTTCAAAATGAAAAATCTGATCAGGTACATATTCTGTAAGTTTGCTTGAAAGGGGCTATTCAAAATCAGATCAGTTAATTAATGAGATTTTTAGGTTACAAACGCTTGTTGAGCCAGGACAGAAGTTCTGACTTCTAAGTCTTAGGTAAGGATTCAAGATGATGCTTCTTATTTTCCTACTAAGCATTCTTCAAAGAACAACAACAAATAAGTTAAACTAACCAGAATTTTACACAGTTTTTATTTCAAACATTTGTTATGAAGTACTTGAATGGAAAAGGTCTTGACATTTCAAGTTTAAAAACCAATAAAAGTTTAAGGAATGAATTAAGTATCTGTAAACATGTCTGTAATAGCCTTTTTTAAAATTATATAGAATAGTGATTTTAATTAGACATGGCCTTTTAGATTTAGAGAAAGGATACGATTATATTCAAACTAAATAGGTATTTTAATGCATTTGAACATCTTGGAAAGCTTATAGCACAAACTGTTAGCTGGAGTAATCATATCATTAAGCCAAGTTACTGTAGTATCTAATTCTTAATTTACTAAATCTTTTAACTCATTTGCACCAGTAGCTTCAGCACATCCCTAAATTTGGGTGCAGAGAACTGCTGTCAGCAGTTGCCACACGTGCAGGAATCCTGTTGTCACTTCCCATGCAGTCGATTCTTACCGTCCTGGTACCTACGCTCCAGAAATAGTACTACACGCGAGTACAGTGTCTATCAGCGTCCTCCAAAAAAGTGAGAACTCTCAATGACAACTTGTCAGATTTGTTAACATATTCTTCACAGAGCTTCCATACTGAAAATAAAAAGCTTTCTGCCTCGTTCCCAAACAGCTTTCTCAGGCAGTCCCCAGGTATTTTTTTTCCATTTCCCCTTATACTGACATCAAATTCGTGTATTTTGTTTGAGTTCTCATTTCATTTTCAATATGAGAGACCAGGCTTAATGGAAGCTGAATTCACTATATGAATATTGACAGTAATCCTGTATTTGGGTAGCCTAAAGATCTCCCACTGATATAAAACCACACAGAAGAAGCTGTAGTGTCACAGTTGCTTTGCCACTGTGTCTTTGGAACCTGCAAGGAAAAAACACCTTGCTCGCTGGCTAGGGTAAATACTCCTTTCTATTCCTAACTTCTGAAAATAATCCCTTCAGTTCTGTCATTTATTCTCCTGAATCAAAGACCGGTAGCCGGCCAAAATAATCACCAAGAGATGCACCTACACATTACCACAAAAGCAGCAATCCCCACCGTGACAGGCTGAGCACATCACCTCTCCAGAGAAGGGGGAGAGAGGGAAGAAAAATACAGAGATATGACTACCTTAGCACTCTTAGAAAGCAATAACCATGATGCCAATGGTCTTTTCTTTTCATATTGTCAGAGAATTTTACTAACTTTTATCTCAATAAAATTCAGGTCTTCTTCCCTTTCGTATCTCCTTCTATCTACAATATCAATGCATAATGGCTGAAAGGTGTGACAGGGGTTTTTTTAGTAATTTTTTTTTTTTTTAATTCCCATCTCCCTGTTAGAAAACTTGGACAGAGGCTTTAAAAGAAAAGCGCAAACTTTACACTTAAAAGCTCAATAGAAGCACTTTTACAGTTGCAGTTTTAGTTCCTTCCTTTTCTGCAAACTTATTTTATTAAAATCATTAACTGTGTAGCTACATATTGTATTTTTCATAATATCCCCTCCTCATTTAGCATATACAATAAACACCTCATGAGGCAAGAGTCACAGTTTATAGGCATTGTTAAATGTGACAAACTACCCCTGGGTCCAGTTTAAAGGGGTTTATCATCATTATAAATCTGAGGTTATGGGGATTAACATTTATCTGATGTATCATATATTCTACTGACAGAAGGGCAAAATTACGCCACTGATGTAAAAGGCACAGATTTTCAGATGTCGTTTCTTGAAGTTAGGTTATCTTGACCTCTGGCCACGCAGATGAGTGTTTTAATACTCTTATATTTATGTTTCATAATTTGAAACACCAGTATTACCTCTTTGAAACAGCATCAAGATCTCAACCCAGGATGAACAAACTATACGATGTAGACATCACCCGTACAAAACAAGTTTAGTTTGCCTGCTGGCTTTTAAAAGCATGAGGACACAAAGTATGTTCAAGGAAAGAAAATCACTTTCTCTCTCAGAAAATTATTCCCAGCAATCAACTTCAATTCAGACATTTTATCTGAGGTTTGACAGCAGTTGTTTGTTGTATACAAGATAAATTTGGCTCTGCCTCCCCTTGATGAATAGCGCAAATCAAACCATGCTGATCCCCTGCTCATCATTGGAACATGTCTCTCTTATGGACACCCTATTAAAAAAAAAAAACAAAAACAAAAAACACACACACAAAACAAACCAAACCCAAGAACAACGAAAAACCTGGACTCTGCTCAGCAGGAGTGTCAGGGCCAATTGCCAAGATGAACTCTTTTCCATCTCCTGTTAAACCAAAGCGGTTCAC